CGGTGATGTCTTTTCACTTTTATTTGTTTAATCCCAACATTATGTTAGGCTAAATAATTTTATGTATTGGATGATGAAAAAATTATTTAATTTTTAGTTTGAATTCGAGACCTATGTTTTTATGTTAATTCTTGTATTGTAATTCCATTAATATGTCTATTTATATTGTTTTAATGTTTACGCATCATTAGGACAATAAGTTGCTTATTCATAATGTTGGAAAACTCACGATAGGTAGAACACTATTATTGGGACACACGGGCAATAAATATTAGGAATAATATTTGTGGCGTATGCGATCATGTGTGATAATCCTAAATGTCAATGCATATTTACCATATGAATTCAGATTAGGAATATGATCGTCTTATGGTAATTATAGGTTTATTATATCTTTGGAAAGAATAATAAATAATAGTTGAATTATCGATCGTTGCAACTGCATAAATTGAGATAATTATTATTGGTTGAGAATTAGAACTAAAAATTGATCAGTGGCGTCGAAAATTCAATGCGTTCGCACGTTTGATTTTTAAACCAATTTTCATTGATTTAATAAGTTTTAGTTATAAAAATTAGTTAGCTATTCATTCGATCATCTTTTGATTACAAACTCGAATTTAAATATATCCAATATACTGAAATTGATCCTTGTTCTACTGAAATTGATCCTTGTTCCCTGTGGGACGATCTCTCTCTCATCACGATTATTACTTGTACAACGAATCCGTACGCTTGCGAAATTTTGACGAACAAGTTTTTGGCGCCATTGTCAGGGAATAACGGTGTTAATTTTTAGTTATTAGATATTTTAGATTCGTTTTTATTTTTTTATTTAATTTTTATTGTGTTTATTTTCATTTTATTTTTAGTTATTTTTAGGCTACCATTACACTTTTTAGGCGACTTTAGTTTATGCAAAATCTTGACGAGCCTGATCTCTTTCCAATAGACCACGAAATCGAAAGGACATTCAGAAATCGTAGAAGAGTTCAACGTCAAGCAAGGAGTCCAAAACGAAGCTCTTGTTTTAGTTGGAAATTATGTCAATCCAATTCCCGCACCAGTGCAACCTGCTGTGGTATATCCTCCCTTCGGACAATCTAATTTTTACCTCAGACCAGATGTCATCAATTTGTTTCAAAATTACCAAGACATCAGGTTCTTTGGAAACGCCACGAAAAATCCTCATGAGCACATTTCTGCTTTTCTCATGTTATGTGAAGTGATCAATCACGAAGGGATATCAGCAAATGCATTCCGAATGAGATTATTCCCTCACACCTTGAAGGACGCTGCTAGAGAATGGTTTCTTTGTTTACCACCAGGGAGCATTCAATCATGGAATGATATAGTTAAAAAATTCACGATGAAATTCTTTCTACCTTCTCGAGTACGTTCATACCTTCAAGCAGAAAGATTTAGTGAGCTATCTTGAGGCATGGGAGAGGTTCAAGAATTTTTTCAGAAAATACCCCAACCTTGACATTCCCAAGCAGACTCAGCAATATCTTTTCTACTACGGTCTAAAACAAGAGTTCAGAAATATGATAGATGCTTCAGCAGGAAGATCAATGATGAAACTTGATGTGAATGAGGCATATGACCTGTATGAAAAAATAGCTGAAAACCAATCGATGTGGCCAACTGATAGGAAAGCTCCAAGGAAAACATCAGGGTTACACAACGTAGATGCAGTGATAGCACTGGCCACGCAAATAGAAGTTCTTACAATGAAAATGGACAATCTATCTAAGTTAGTCAACATGGTATACCAATCGCCACCTGTTTGCGAAGGATGTGGAGCGGATCATGCTGGTACACTCAGCCCCTTTGGTGTCTACACATGTTAATCAATGTGAAGAAGTAAGCTACGCACAGAACTTTCAGAGACAGCAAAATAATCCTTTCTCCAACACATATAATCCGGGTTGGAAGAACCATCCAATTTTTCATGGTCCAATAGTCAGGGACAAGAACATGGAGGAAGCAATCAGAATAAACCACCTGGGTTCCAACAGCAACAACAGCAAGGGAAAAGGCCATTGCTGGAAGATTTGCTGGCTCAATACATTACTAAAACTGAGACCAACTTTCAAAACCAACAAGCCTCGATCAAGAATTTGGAACAACAGGTTGGACAGATTGCATCTGCACTTTCAAAACCAACAAGCCTCGATCAAGAATTTGGAACAACAGGTTGGACAGATTGCATCTGCACTATCAGGTAGAGCTCAAGGCACGTTACCTAACAACATCGAGACAAACCATAAGGAGCAGGTCAAAGCAATCACTACACGTAGTGGTGTCCACTTACCAGAAATACATGTAAAGCGGCCAGCAACTGTCATAGAAAAGGCACCTACCATGGGCAAGGAGCAAGTGGATGAATTAGACAAGGCTACTGAGGAAAATCAAGTTGAGTCATCAGATAGCCCACAGGTGAAAGCAACTGCTCCTGTCAAAGCATATGTTCCTCTAGTCCTATTTCCACAGAAATTGCAAAAACATAAGCTCGACAAGCAATTCCAGAAATTTTTAGATGTGTTCAAGAAGCTGCACATTAACATATCATTTGCTAAAGCTTTAGCTCAAATGCCCAGCTACGTCAAGTTCATGAAAAATATTCTATCAAATAAGAGGAAGCTGGAAGACAATGAAACAGTCATGCTTACAGAGGAGTGTAGCGCAATTCTCCAACACAAATTACCACTGAAACTAAAAGACCCATGAAGTTTTACTATTCCTTGTCACATTGGTAATTTGAATATAGATAAGGCATTGTGTGATCTAGGAGCTAGCATTAATTTAATGCCCTTATCTCTTTTCTGGAAACTAGGTTTGGGGAAAGCAAAATCGACTACAGTTTCACTGCAATTGGCTGACAGGTCGATCAAACACCCTCATGGTATTTGTGAAGATATTTTGGTGAAGGTTGACAAGTTTATCTTTCCAGCGAACTTCATTATTTTGGATATGGAAGAAGATAGAGACGTCCCCCTCATATTGGGTCATCCATTTTTGGCTACGGGAAGAGCTCTGATAGATGTGCAAAAGGGTAAGTTGATATCGAGGTTAAATGAAGAAGAATTGACAATCGTCGTGTTTAGAACTTTCAGATTTCAGAGCGAACCGAATTCTTGCATGCAGATTGATGTAATAAAAGAAGCGATGTCAGAGACATTCAAACTAAATCACCCTCAGGATTAGCTTGAGGCTTGTTTAGTGCATTCGCAAGATTTAGCATCGGAAAAGGAGGAAGTAGAAGAATGTGTACGTTATTTAGCAGCCATACCACCATTCTTCAAACAACCACGACTGGAGCTCGGTGAAAGACCCTCAACACCTTTGCCATCTATGCAGCAAGCTCCAACTCTTGAACTCAAACAGTTGCCCACCCATCTTCGCTATGTATATTTGGGGGGGAAAATTTACTTCCAGTAATTATCTCGAACAATCTTACAGAATCAGAGGAGGATCAGTTGCTGAGGGTGCTTCGAGAGCATAAGACAGCAATAGGATGGACGATGTTAGATATAAAAGGGATCAGTCCTTTACTTTGCATGCATAAGATACTGATGGAAGACGATTACAAAGCTTCAATTGAGCATCAACGCAGATTAAATCCGACTATGCAAGAGGTGGTAAGGAAAGAGGTATTAAAGCTTCTGGATGCTCGGATCATCTATCCCATTTCAGACAGTCATTGGGTGAGTCCAGTACAGGTCGTACCAAAAAAGGGAGGGATCACAGTGGTTCCAAATGAAAACAATGAGCTCATTCGGACACGCACAGTCACAGGTTGGAGAGTTAGCATTGATTATCGTAAACTCAACAACGCCCCGAGGAAGGATCACTTTTCCCTTCCTTTCATTGATCAGATGCTGGAGAGACTTGCTGGACATGCGTACTATTGCTTCCTGGATGGTTATTCAGGGTACAACCAAATTTCTATAGCGCCAGATGACCAAGAGAAGACGACCTTTACATGCCCTTATAGCACTTTTGCTTATAGGACGATGCCATTCGGTCTTTGCTTGCTCCTGCCACCTTTCAACATTGTATGATGTCTATTTTCTCGGATATGGTGGGAAATATCATTTAGGTGTTTATGAATGATTTCTCAGTATTTGGAAAATCATTTAAGGAGTGCCTTGAACATTTGGGAAAAGTGTTGCGACGGTGTGAAGACACAAACCTTGTATTAAATTGGGAAAAATGTCATTTCATGGTTCAGGAAGGAATTGTGTTAGGGCATTTGATTTCAGCACGGGGTATTGAGGTTGATAGAGCTAAGATACAAGTCATCGAAAAACTACCACCGCCAGTAATAGTGAAGGGTGTCAGAAGCTTTTTGGGTCATGCTGGGTTCTACTGTCGCTTAATCAAAGACTTTTCCAAAATCTCGAAGCCATTTGCAATCTATTAGAAAAAGGGGCTCCGTTTCACTTTTCTGAGGAGTGCTTGACTATTTTCAACACTCTAAAGGAAAAATTGGTTTCCGCTCTAGTGTTGGCTCCTCCAGACTGGGATTATCCTTTTGAGCTTATGTGTGATGCTAGTGATCATGCAGTGGGGGCGGTGTTAGGTCAACGCAAGGAGAAGATTTCTCATATTATCCACTATGCTAGTAAGACTTTAGACGAGGCTCAAATGAATTATGCTACTACATAGAAAGAGTTTTTGGTAGTGGTGTTCATCGTTGACAAATTCAGGTCATATTTGATTGGGTCAAAAGTGAGTGTCTATACGGATCATTCAGCATTGAAATATCTAATGAGCAAGGACGCAAAACCAAGGCTTATTCGATGGATACTCCTGTTGCAAAAGTTTGATTTGGAGATCAGAGATAAAAAAAGGGAGTGAGAATGTTGTGGCAGATCACCTTTCTCGCCTTGAATCACACGAGTCACACCCTAAGAGAAAATCAACGAAGTTTTCCCAAATGAGATGCTTTTTTAGATTATTACTACACCATGGTACGCCGATTATGTCAATTATTTGGCCCGCTCCATCATCCCACCAGACTACTCGAGTCACCAAAGGAAGAAATTCTTCAGTGACCTAAAACACTACTTTTGGGATGATCCAATTCTTTGCAGAAAGGGTCCAGATCAAATCATACGCCGTTGTGTACCAGAAGTATAACAACATCAAGTATTAGAATCATGTCACTTTGCACCATATGGGGGCCACTTTGCAGCAACCAAGACAGCAGTTAAGGTACTGCAATCGGGTTTTTATTGGCCTACGTTGTTCAAGGACGCCTATTATATGGTGAAGCATTGTGATAAGTGTCAGAGGACTAGAAACATCTCAAGGAGGAACGAGATGCCTTTGAACAGTATTTTGGCTGTTAAAATGTTCGACGTTTTGGGCACTGACTTCATGGGACCATTTCCTCCATCCTATGGTCAACAATATATACTGGTGGTAGTGGACTACGTGTCTAAGTGGGTTGAAGTTGTAGCTTCACCAACGAACGACGACCGAGTGGTAACTCAATTTCTAAAGAAGAACATTTTCACTCGATATGGGACCCCAAGGGCGATTATTAGTGATGGTGGAAAGCATTTTTGTAACCGCCTATTTGCTTCGTTGTTGGCCAAATATGGAGTGAAACATCCTGTCTCGACTTCATACATCCTCAGACTAGTGGGCAGGTGAAAATCTCCAACAGGGAGTTAAAGAAGATTCTCGAAGCTACGGTCAATACATCACGTAAAGATTGGGCTAAGAAACTAGACAATGCACTTTGGGCGTATAGAACAGCATTTAAGACTTCAATTGGCATGTCTCCATTTCGACTTTTATTTGGAAAGGCTTGTCATCTTCCAGTTGAGCTAGAGCATAAGGCATACTGGGCGACACACTTGGTCAATTTCAATATGAGGGCAGCAGGAGAAAATAGGGTTCTACAACTTCATGAGCTAGATGAGTTTCATTTGGATTTGTATGAGAATGCAAAGATTTACAAGGAAAAGACCACGAGATGGCACGACAGGCATATACGGGAGAAGGAGTTTGAGGTTGGTCAGCAAGTATTGATGTTTAATTCACGCCTCAAGCTCTTTTCGGGAAAGCTAAAGTCTAGGTGGTCGGATCCATTCACGGTAGTTGCTGTGTTTCCACATGGATCTGTGGAAGTGGTGTCTCAAGATCAACAAAGGAAGTTCAAATTAAATGGACAACGGTTGAAAGCTTATTGGGGAGTTGACTACTCCAGTGAAAAACAACCGTACCACTTGATAATGTAGAGTAACTAGGACAACAAAGTCTAACTAAAGACTATAAATTAAGTGTTTATTGGGAGGCAACCCAATTTCTAAACATTTTATCCTTTTTTTTTTTATTAGGGCATCGCATTGCATATAGATTTATTTTAATTATTAGTTGCATTAGATTTAAGCACGTCTAAATTTATAGAGTATCATCATCCGATCATGTTTTCATTGAGAGCCTTAAATATAATGTTGGTTATTTCGAGTGTTTGGCTAAGTAACGCATGTTTTAGATTATTTGATCTCTAGTGTTTGATTTGCTTGCCATATGCAGGAACATGACGTCATGGAACACTCAGCCCAATATCGACCAAGGGAAAAGCATGATGAGAAAGATTGTCTAGTCGTCACCTACTGTACCTTCCACGTTCAATAGAAAAATTCGGGGAGTACCTTCGTCCTTTTCTTCCCCGTCCCCTTATATTCTTAATTATGTTTGAGGACAATCTCTGGTTTAAGTTTGGGGGTGGGAAACACTTTGTGTTTTTGGTTTTCGTATGTTTTCGTGCGTTGTTTACATATGTTTAATAAAAAAATAAATAAATAAAACATTTAAAAAATATCGTTAAATTTTTATTTATTTTTGATTGTGTGCTTGTGTGGGTTAGACGGTTTGGTTGACAATGATGATTAAATTTGAGATTTGGCGTTGATTTATGAACTGTGGATAGGAAGCATGATAGACTGATTGAAGCTTGAACTTGCAAAACTTGATATTATACATGCACTATAACTGAGTTTGACATTATGATGAAGTGAGTTGATTCATGCACTCGATAGATTGAATTAGTTGGACATAGATGCTTTATCAAAACCATACTAATCGATTATCCTTAGACCAAATTTAGCACAATTTGAAAAGATCATACTGTTGTAGGAAAATTTGGATGTGAATGTGGATTCCTTGTGTGAAAAATTGTGTGGATTGTCTCGGATTAATAGGATAAAATTGGATGAAAGTCTTAAATTGGAGGTTGATTTGCTTGAATAAGTGTGTGATAAGAAGCATTGCACTAATCAAGGCATATATTTTGAAATTAAATTTTTTTTCTTTGGAGCTTTTATGGTTCGAGCAATTAAGTCTGCAAGGGTATCTTAAAACCTAGTGCCCTCAAGTCATCGGCCTAAAGCTCGTTACAGGAGTCAATTAAAAAGCAATCAGAGATGAAATTGTCCTAAAAAAAATTTATTTTCTTCTAAGCCTTTTTTATTCGGGTTATTAAGCCTGTAAGGGTATTTGAAAACCTGGTGCCCTAATGTCATCTGACTTAGGAGTCATCAGCCTAAAACCTGCTACATGAGTTATCTAGAAAGCTTAAGGGAGAGTGCAAAAAAATAAAAAAGCACTAAATACCTTGTAAGTCCCAACACTTGTTCGAGGAAATTTGACGTTCGATGAAGGATAATTAGCCTAATTGAATCTTGACGATTGAAACAATCAAATAATTGGAGAATTCTTATTCATTGATGTGTTGACTTGTAACTAGTGATGTCCACCTAAATTGGTGAGGGTAATGATAGTAATGAAAAATTCAATCTTAGATCACATACTGGGAAAAGAGTGAAAATGAACAAATTTGGGGGTGTGTGAATCTTACGAGAGATGAAAAGATATATTTGACCATAGAGGTTCGGGAATTGAAATAACTTGTGAATTCATTAATGTCTACTTAGTTCTTCACACACACACATCGGATTTGCATTGGAAAAGTGGATATTAGTTTGGTATTGTTAATTTGAAGCAGTTTGTAGATTTAATGCTGGGATTTCAAATCCTAAGATAAAAAGCTAAATGGTCTAACAAAATATTTTTGCTTGCTTGTGTGTTTGTTTTTATTTAAGTTATAGTTTTGTTCAAGGACGAACAAATGTTTAAATTTGAGAGTGTTTGGTAAGTGTAATTTATGCACTTATTTAAGCCACATTTATTAAACTTTTACGTCGTCAAATTATTAAGTTTTATCTAACTTAGGTTATTTTTCATTTTGTTTTTAGTGACGAACCCGTTTGAAGCATTTGGAAAAGGATGAAGGATTAATTAGCTATTTGATGCAAAGTTTGGAGATCAAATTTTATACTTTAAAAGTTGAGGACTTGGAGAAAATAATTGATTAATTGGGCCTCAATTGAAACTTGAATTGGAAGCAAATTTTACAATTGGAATGGACTTTGAATTGGACTCCAACTTTGAGGTCTTGGAAGATTAATTCTATATAGAAACAGATTACAGGTGGGCTGGATATATATATATATATATATATATATATATATATATCCCGTTTACAGGAGAGGAGAAAAAAAGAAAAAAAAAGAAAAAGAAAAGAGAAACGGCAGAGAGATTGAGGAGAATTCGGCAGCCAATTGGGGGAAATTAATAAGGCAGCAACTCGGAGTTCTTCTGGCAGAAAAAAAAAAGAAAAAAGACGACAACTGGGGAGATTAACTTATAGAAAACGGCGGCTGCAAGGTAAAAGAAAAGGAGGCAAAAGATAGAGTTCTTTGTGGAATCAAACATAGTAGCTGGGTGGAGAATTATAATATACACAGGAAGCCAATTTCATGAGCAATTGAATTCTTCTTAGAGTAAAACAAGCTGGCTGTTATATATATTTTACGCACAGAAAGTGGAAGCCTACCTTGGGAATTGATTTTAAATAGATTAAAAAAAAGGGCAAAGCTGCTGGGAAAGAAGGCAAGGAAAAAGAGACTGATTTTGAAGAATAAAAAGGAGGCTACCGACTGTAGTGGGAATACATATATATGAATATATATTCATGCACATGCAAAAGGATGGGAGTTGGTTTTTAAAGGCAGCTTTACGTGGAAAATTAATCACTTGTCGTCAAATCTCGGTGATGTCTTTCCACTTTTATTTGTTTAATCCCAACATTATGTTAGGCTAAATAATTTCATGTATTGGATGATAATAAAATTGTTTAATTTTTAGTTTTAATTCGAGATCTATGTTTTTATGTTAATTCTTGCGTTGTAATTCCATTAATATGTCTATTTATATTGTTTTAATGTTTGCGCACCATTAAGACAATAAGTTGCTTATTCGTAGTGTTGAAAAACTCACGATAGGTAGAACACTATTATTGGGACATACGAACAATAAATATTAGGAATAATATTTGTGGCGTATGGGATCATGTGTGATAATCCTAAATGTCAATGCATATTTACCATATGAATCTGGACTAGGAATATGATCGTCTCGTGCTAGTTATAGGTTTAGCCCTTGTTTGAGCCCCATTCTTTTGAAAAAAATTCATTTTTCAACAGTGTTTTGACATCATTTCAACCACACATTCTTGAAAAAAATAATATTACACGTAAATTCAAAAAAATTTCTTATTTTTTAACCACACATTTTGCATCAATACACTATTCAAAAATTCATTCTACCCCAAAAAATGGGGCTCAAACAAGGGCTTATTATATCTTTTGAAAGAATAATAAATAATAGTGGAATTATCGATCGTCACAACTGCATAAATTGAGATAATTATTATTGGTTGAGAATTAGAACTAAGAATTGATCAGTGGCGTCGAAAATCCAATACGTTCGCACATTTGATTTTTAAACCAATTTTCATTGATTTAATAAATTTTAGTTATAAAAATTAGTTAGTTATTCATTCGATCATCTTTTGATTATAAACTCGAATTTAAATATATCCAATATACTGAAATTGATCCTTATTCTTTGTAGGACGATAACTATCTAATCACGATTATTAATTGTACAATGAACTCGTACGCTTGTGGGATTTTGACAAACACTTCTATCAGGACCAAACTAGACAGTCAGGAAACGCGAATGTGCACCTTAGATGGCGCGATGAGAATAAAAAAACCTCAGTGGCAGAGAACTTTAACGGTGCTGGAACAGAAAGGGAAGACCCCAGCGAAGACTTTGACGTCAAGGAACAGTGGTCCAACTGCAGTCGTCGACCACGATGAACAAGGCACCAATTACCGACGGCACCGGAACAGCAGGAAGATGCCGGAAACATGAGAAACTCAAGAGAATGACCACAGGTTCGAGAAAAGGCAATTTAGGGTTCTCATACCATGCCAATTTTTCTGAATGATCTTTCTGGTATGTATTGATGTAATTGATAGAATATTACAAAGTAGAAATCTAAGGAAAGTTTAGCTGTAAAATCAAATAAAATCCTGATTTTGGCAACTATTATACTTATGTGAGTTATATATGGAAAACTCTAGTTAGCTGTAGATACTCTAATAGATAAATGTTTTGGGTCAGAAATTGACTGGGGAGTGGTCTGAAAGCTGTCGTGTTTCTCATGTCTTCGATTTGAAGCAACATAAATGTTCTTTGGATTCAAAACAGCCTTTGTTGAAGGAAAATGTTTAGTGGAGCATTATCTTTAGGTTGTTCTCACCATGGTTCATTATGTGTGTTACTGCTAAAACCCAGTAACTTCAAACAGCCAAATTCACTTCCCTAATGGCCTACTCGTGTTTGTCGAGATGTGCACAGCTGACCTTCATTCTAGTATGGTCAGTATGTACGGCATTCTATAGTAATAGCTAGGTAATTTTTTGGAAAATATCTGCAGTAACTTCGGTGTATATCTTACTTATCTTGAGAACATATTGCATATCAGCATGTAAATATATATCAAGTATACATGTATACATATATTAAATGAGACAGTGAGAGGTCTAAATACATAAAGGTTAATAGAGAAACATCCACTGCCATATCGTGCTCCCGGAACGTTACTTGTGATTTTTTTAATTTTTAATTTTTGTATTTCTAGTTTATTTATCAAATGTAGATAATTATTAGTGGTTTTTCTAATGTATCAATACTGCCTCTTAAATAAGTGGCTCAACATATTTCATCATTTTTCAGGAATTGTTCCTGCATCAATGATCCTTTTAGGCATGTACTGGAAAGAAATGAATGCAGATTCTGAATGGATAGAACTCTATAGCCTGCAACTATCTTTACCATTTAAATATTGATAAGTTCGTCCTATTTTCCTCTCCCAAAAATGCTGGGGAGAAACGGTATACATTTATATATATTATGTTTGTTGGGTTAGACAAGAACTGACTAGTTTTCAGTAAATCAACAATTATGTGAATAACGATAATGATGTTAAAAATAACAACAATACTTATATAATTGGGAACAGCTGTTATATAATTAGAACAATAACACTAAAATTATGAGTATGGATTGGACTGTGTTCTTGTTCTTTGCAGGCTAAAGAAAATGATGCTTTTGATGGAGTTGAGGAAGGATATGAAAGTTCGTGGGATGAGATCTCATCTGTTTCTTCCTATAATCATTTGAAGGAAGATATGCATAAAGCTTTTGGAAGTTCATTATCATTGCGGTCAATTGCAGCAAGGTCTTCCAATAGAGGTTCTGTTTATCTTGAAGATTGCACGAGCATATCTTCAAACTTTGCACTTCCTCAGCTGTCTGTGGCTGAGGTCTTACATGATTCTACTGGCGGTAAACTATTATTTATCATTAAAACTTCAATTGCTAACATCAAACCTCGAACTCTTTCATCTATGAGAGTAATTGTGCCTTGGTAAAGCTGCATTATATCTTACAGTTTTGTCTTTGTGAACAGATGCTTTGTCCCCAGATAGATCTTCGGCTATCGCATCTCCAAGTCAGCAGCTAAAATTTCCAAAAACCCTTTCTGTAGATGATGACACAAGGGTATCATCTGCCTCCAGAAATGCTGAATCTGGAGCATGTAATTATTGCTGTTGCATTCTTTCATAAATCTGAAACATATTTCCTCCGGTCCTTCCTGTATTTGACTTAAGGTATGATGTTTCAAAACTAATTTGCTCTCAACATTTTCTGCAGCAGAAGGGTATGTTCGAGGAAGATCATATAATATCAGACTGGATGACGAAGTTCTACTAAGATTTTCACCAAAGAACTCTGAGTCAAATTACTACTTCAGTGATATGGTAGTAACATGAGGATCTTTTCTATTGTCTTTATTTTAGTTCTTCCTTATATTTCTTTTTCATTATAACTGACAGATAGGTGGAACCCTTACCTTCTTTCATGAAGAAGGGCCTAGGAGATGCCTTGAGGTACTTTTGCATTTCATCATATATCACTGTGAACTACCATTAGCATAGGGTTACTTTTCTCCGAATATGGATTTGACTGGCTTCTTGGTGCCTTTTAGTTGACAATAGCTCTGGAGATGATGGAGACTATAAGTCGGCACTTTGTCCATCCTTCTCGGAGGCATTCTCCTATTATTACTAAGGTAAGTGGTACCGATACTATGATGACTTTTCTTTCTGTAGATAGGAACTGTAGTCTGTTCATTTATTAAACTGAGAGGTAGACAAACAGTTTGTTGGAAACGGGTAGATCTTTTTATACTGTTTAGAATAGCTAATCCCTGATTCATAGGGATTGATAGATAAATCAAACTTCCATAATTACGTAGTCTTTTTGTGTATAAATAACCATGTACAGCATTTGAAAACAGTTTTGCTATATGGTATCAGATACCCATAAAGTTCAAACTAGTAATTCGATATGACTAAGACTCAAATGAGCACATGATTTTCCTGATTTAGATTTGCCTATTGCTGTCAGAGAAGGAACTAGAAAATGCACACAACACCCTATTTCTCATTTTGTATCCTTTAACAGATTATCCAAAAAACATAGGACCTTCCTTACCACCCTAAATTCTATTGGCATTCCTAAGACACTACCAGAGACAATTAGGGATAAGAAGTGGGCGTAAGCTATGAGAGAAGAAATGAATGCACTAGAGAAATAAAACATTGGAAATTGTGAGAGTGCCAAGAGGAAAGAAACCAGTGGGCTGTAAATGGGTGTTTACCTTGAAATACAAGGCTGGTGGGACACTAGAAAGATACAAACCTAGGCTTGTTGTGAAAGGCTATGTTCAGAAGGCCCGATCGATTGACCATAAATAATGTTTATAATTTACTGTGAAGAGGCCAACAGGAAAACACTGATTTTTTACACCTGATTTGTGCAGGTTCAGAGTGATCACCATGAGGTTGTTGCAGATTTATTAGAGACTAGCTTTCTCTTTTCCATGCCTATGGATGGACCATTGACTTTTTATACCTGCTATGTCTCTGTGCAATGGGCTCTTCGTTTTGAATTTCTTACGACTCCAAAGAATGTGGACTGGACAAGGTACTATTATAATCATTGTTGGATGGCAGAATTCCATAGTTAAGTCAGATATGTTTCTTATTTACTGTAATTTTACTTAATGGCTACAAAACTGCCAGTTACCAGATCATGAAATCATCAAAAGAATCGATCACTAAATCTTGAAATCAGCTTTTTGGCACGAAGCTTGCCAGGTGTGTAAGCTGGTTACCAGTACATGAGCTAAATTTTGCTAATTGCAGTTAATTAAATATAAATTCCTGCTTCTAAGATGTTAATGTAAACATTGAAGTAGAATAAAAATAGACAAAATAGATCACACCAAAATGAACTCTTACATAAGGTCCTTGTTAGTAGCCTTTAAGGCCCTCATTAAATTTCATTACATTTTTCTATATTCTATTTTCAACCACATAATCTTCTATAAAATAATATTACACGTAAATCGAAAACTTTCCTTCTATTTCAACCACTCATTTTTCAACAACACACTATTCCACCCATTTCCATTTCTAGAAAATGGAGCCCAAAAGGGGGCTAAGTGGGATAAAGTGCTGTTACATCTAATTAACTCATTGATGGAAGCACCTTATTTTTCATGATGGGGGATTTTGTCTTGTATTCACTCTGGATTGCATAATGCAATTGCTCCCATTTGACTCATGTGCATTCCTTTCATTTCATGGCTCCATCCATCTCAATTATTGCTTTGCAAGGAGGTATAGAATAAAAACCTCACTTGGTTTCACATCCGCTTCTAGTTTATTGAAAATATGGTTCCACTGCACTTGAACATTTCAAAAAATTATTGGAGATCTTTTTTAATTCGTCTTATTTTTCTACAGCCTCGTATAGTCACATTATTCTTTGTTGTTACCTGCCAACTGAGGTGGTTAAAACTTGAGATTTTTAATTACCGTGAGTGGATACTTCCAATTACCGTGCATGCCCCTCCTCTAGGGGCTGCAGCAGCTCATACTCGAAATGAGAAGTCTCTCTCATTGGAACCCTTGTGGATTCGTACTTGAAGGTAAACTGACACTCCCAATTAGGGACGGTTGTTGAGTTCCAAGTGATCTTTTTTGCTACTCATCTTGCAATCTGTATACACTCTGGAGTCGAATCACAATATTATCTTGTCAACAGTTGTGATTGCCTAACGTTCGTCATTTTCTGAACTTCCCTCAGGTGGGTACAACTCATTGAAGGTGCAAGATACAGCAATGTGATTTAACGGGTTAAAGCTACATATTCCATGGAAATTGGGTTCTTCCCAGGGATCATGCGGTGAAATGCTGGACTGCTATAATAAAAGTTTCACCCACATAAGATCGACTATTTCACAATGTATTGACAAGTGGCGAGGATGCGTTCCTTTCAGCATCAGTCATAGAGTAATTTATTTCACACCAGAACGAGAGAAATTTACCAGTTTCTGTTAAGTTTTTCCTTTCTTCTTTGTTTCGTCGATTCGTTCCTTTTGTACTTTCGAAAATTCTCTGAGATGCCGGAATTCTTTGTTACATGCTTCTGCGCTTGTACATTTGTAAAGTGTTACTTACATAATAATAATTCTCTTGTTTTCCAATGCTTCGAGGCAGTTATTTTCTCAGACAATTGTGAAGTGCATTACAATGAAGGCCGAAAAGGCAGCATTAATTACGACATGGCATTCTAAGATGAAACGAGGTATTGTCATACAAGTCATGAAAATGAAGGTTGACTTATTGTAATAAAAATTTTGTGATTGGTCGAAATAACAAAACATAAGAATTTGTCCCTCTACAAGAAGTTCTCAATGTTGAGTTCCACGTAGGAGCATGGGTCTGGAATATCGAAGTTATCCAACACCTGTCATCAACATTAAGGCATTCAAACGCAAGAAGAAATCATGGCCCAAAGAAAAAGCAGCAGAATGTATATGAGAAATCACGAGTAAAATACAGAGTTTTTATTAGGCTTACTAACAGAAAATTTAAAGTGTTGGGAATTTACTGCAAAACTGAAAGGTACCTTTAGTTCTTCCAACATATTACACGAGAAATATCGATATACCTGTGGGTGCACAATGCCAAAAGTGCCGATTTGCTTCCCTTTGTAAATGATGCTCGCTTGTCGGCCTGGAAGAAACTCGGGTTCCTGCAATATAAAATAATAATAGTATGTAATTTGTTAAACAATCCCATAGCAAATTCAACAGAATTAAAACAGTTAACATACATCTGAACTCTGTATATAGTAGCCAGTTTCATCCCCAGGTGGTACGAATGAGGTTCCTGCCACTTCCATGATTCTATCCACAAGACCATGTATAAGCTGAAAGGGGAAAAAGAGAAGAAACTTAGCAAATCCTACATCATCAATTAGATAAAATGTGTAAGGGGAAGTGCACAAGCATAATGACATGGTTTTGTAAACAAAACCGAACACTGAATTGCCCAATGTTTAAAAGTGCAGATACAAGCGAACTTAATAGAGCAATCCACTCAGAATTGTATACAGCTAGCTGAATCAAGCCATCCTCTTGATCATATTCTAAAGGAAGACCAACAAATACTAAACTGAATAAGATTTTATCTATAAGAACCCTCCAAATCCCCAGAGATAAGTATCTCACATATCATCGAGAGGTCAAGATAAAAAGTGTTGGAATCAAAGGGTACCTCGAATCCTGAAGTAGCTCCACAATACAAAGCTGCAAGATGACGGCGATTTGATGCACCAACATCTTTTGTGTCGTCGAGTAGCACCACATCACCCACTTCAAAAATCTGCATATTAGAGTATATCAGATGTATATATAAATTACAAAAATATAATAGATGCAAAACATGTAGAACCTGGCAGAGGAATCATGTCAGTCACACCTCAGGACTGAAAGTCCAACATGCAAAAATGAACAGTTTGAGCCTCCTAAGCACGTAGAAAAAATGCCACAAAATATAATAAATGCAAAACATGTAGAACCTGGCACAGGAATCATAATCAGACATGAAAGACAGCCACAGCCTTTGACATCAACTATCTCCCAAGTAATTTATATATTACAATACTTGCAGATAACAGTACTAACTCTGTTTAAATACATGAGAATTGCACTAGACAGATGTTTCTTCAACATCAATCATTTAGTTTGAAAACACTCTTTTGATCAAATCAACAAACAGATCAAAGTGAACAATCTATGGAACACAGCCAATCATTGTAAACCCTTCAAAAATTTTCAATTTCACAAGGCTCTGACTAACAAGAAAACGCAGTTCCACATATCTAGTTTTGGTATGACCACAACAAGAACAACTTTTCTTTTCATGCTATGCTTATTTCATGCAGATAGAATGGTGGATCCTAAAATTCTTTAATAATGAGGCGAACAAGTCTGCAAAACATAAATACAAGGAGGATCGCATTAAATATTCTAATCACCTTTATTGGTTTTGGGTGGTCTTTATTATGCCCAATGGTTTTCAATATGCCAGGCATAAGACTGGTACGGACAACCTGCAAAAATTCACAGATAGAATAAATGGAAATGCACTATTTCAGAGAGAGAGAGAGAATGAGAGTAATTGTGCCTTGGTAAAGCTGCATTATATCTTACAGTTTTGTCTTTGTGAACAGATGCTTTGTCCCCAGATAGATCTTCGGCTATCGCATCTCCAAGTCAGCAGCTAAAATTTCCAAAAACCCTTTCTGTAGATGATGACACAAGGGTATCATCTGCCTCCAGAAATGCTGAATCTGGAGCATGTAATTATTGCTGTTGCATTCTTTCATAAATCTGAAACATATTTCCTCCGGTCCTTCCTGTATTTGACTTAAGGTATGATGTTTCAAAACTAATTTGCTCTCAACATTTTCTGCAGCAGAAGGGTATGTTCGAGGAAGATCATATAATATCAGACTGGATGACGAAGTTCTACTAAGATTTTCACCAAAGAACTCTGAGTCAAATTACTACTTCAGTGATATGGTAGTAACATGAGGATCTTTTCTATTGTCTTTATTTTAGTTCTTCCTTATATTTCTTTTTCATTATAACTGACAGATAGGTGGAACCCTTACCTTCTTTCATGAAGAAGGGCCTAGGAGATGCCTTGAGGTACTTTTGCATTTCATCATATATCACTGTGAACTACCATTAGCATAGGGTTACTTTTCTCCGAATATGGATTTGACTGGCTTCTTGGTGCCTTTTAGTTGACAATAGCTCTGGAGATGATGGAGACTATAAGTCGGCACTTTGTCCATCCTTCTCGGAGGCATTCTCCTATTATTACTAAGGTAAGTGGTACCGATACTATGATGACTTTTCTTTCTGTAGATAGGAACTGTAGTCTGTTCATTTATTAAACTGAGAGGTAGACAAACAGTTTGTTGGAAACGGGTAGATCTTTTTATACTGTTTAGAATAGCTAATCCCTGATTCATAGGGATTGATAGATAAATCAAACTTCCATAATTACGTAGTCTTTTTGTGTATAAATAACCATGTACAGCATTTGAAAACAGTTTTGCTATATGGTATCAGATACCCATAAAGTTCAAACTAGTAATTCGATATGACTAAGACTCAAATGAGCACATGATTTTCCTGATTTAGATTTGCCTATTGCTGTCAGAGAAGGAACTAGAAAATGCACACAACACCCTATTTCTCATTTTGTATCCTTTAACAGATTATCCAAAAAACATAGGACCTTCCTTACCACCCTAAATTCTATTGGCATTCCTAAGACACTACCAGAGACAATTAGGGATAAGATGTGGGCGTAAGCTATGAGAGAAGAAATGAATGCACTAGAGAAATAAAACATTGGAAATTGTGAGAGTGCCAAGAGGAAAGAAACCAGTGGGCTGTAAATGGGTGTTTACCTTGAAATACAAGGCTGGTGGGACACTAGAAAGATACAAACCTAGGCTTGTTGTGAAAGGCTATGTTCAGAAGGCCCGATCGATTGACCATAAATAATGTTTATAATTTACTGTGAAGAGGCCAACAGGAAAACACTGATTTTTTACACCTGATTTGTGCAGGTTCAGAGTGATCACCATGAGGTTGTTGCAGATTTATTACAGACTAGCTTTCTCTTTTCCATGCCTATGGATGCACCATTGACTTTTTATACCTGCTATGTCTCTGTGCAATGGGCTCTTCGTTTTGAATTTCTTACGACTCCAAAGAATGTGGACTGGACAAGGTACTATTATAATCATTGTTGGATGGCAGAATTCCATAGTTAAGTCAGATATGTTTCTTATTTACTGTAATTTTACTTAATGGCTACAAAACTGCCAGTTACCAGATCATGAAATCATCAAAAGAATCGATCACTAAATCTTGAAATCAGCTTTTTGGCACGAAGCTTGCCAGGTGTGTAAGCTGGTTACCAGTACATGAGCTAAATTTTGCTAATTGCAGTTAATTAAATATAAATTCCTGCTTCTAAGATGTTAATGTAAACATTGAAGTAGAATAAAAATAGACAAAATAGATCACACCAAAATGAACTCTTACATAAGGTCCTTGTTAGTAGCCTTTAAGGCCCTCATTAAATTTCATTACATTTTTCTATATTCTATTTTCAACCACATAATCTTCTATAAAATAATATTACACGTAAATCGAAAACTTTCCTTCTATTTCAACCACTCATTTTTCAACAACACACTATTCCACCCATTTCCATTTCTAGAAAATGGAGCCCAAAAGGGGGCTAAGTGGGATAAAGTGCTGTTACATCTAATTAACTCATTGATGGAAGCACCTTATTTTTCATGATGGGGGATTTTGTCTTGTATTCACTCTGGATTGCATAATGCAATTGCTCCCATTTGACTCATGTGCATTCCTTTCATTTCATGGCTCCATCCATCTCAATTATTGCTTTGCAAGGAGGTATAGAATAAAAACCTCACTTGGTTTCACATCCGCTTCTAGTTTATTGAAAATATGGTTCCACTGCACTTGAACATTTCAAAAAATTATTGGAGATCTTTTTTAATTCGTCTTATTTTTCTACAGCCTCGTATAGTCACATTATTCTTTGTTGTTACCTGCCAACTGAGGTGGTTAAAACTTGAGATTTTTAATTACCGTGAGTGGATACTTCCAATTACCGTGCATGCCCCTCCTCTAGGGGCTGCAGCAGCTCATACTCGAAATGAGAAGTCTCTCTCATTGGAACCCTTGTGGATTCGTACTTGAAGGTAAACTGACACTCCCAATTAGGGACGGTTGTTGAGTTCCAAGTGATCTTTTTTGCTACTCATCTTGCAATCTGTATACACTCTGGAGTCGAATCACAATATTATCTTGTCAACAGTTGTGATTGCCTAACGTTCGTCATTTTCTGAACTTCGCTCAGGTGGGTACAACTCATTGAAGGTGCAAGATACAGCAATGTGATTTAACGGGTTAAAGCTACATATTCCATGGAAATTGGGTTCTTCCCAGGGATCATGCGGTGAAATGCTGGACTGCTATAATAAAAGTTTCACCCACATAAGATCGACTATTTCACAATGTATTGACAAGTGGCGAGGATGCGTTCCTTTCAGCATCAGTCATAGAGTAATTTATTTCACACCAGAACGAGAGAAATTTACCAGTTTCTGTTAAGTTTTTCCTTTCTTCTTTGTTTCGTCGATTCGTTCCTTTTGTACTTTCGAAAATTCTCTGAGATGCCGGAATTCTTTGTTACATGCTTCTGCGCTTGTACATTTGTAAAGTGTTACTTACATAATAATAATTCTCTTGTTTTCCAATGCTTCGAGGCAGTTATTTTCTCAGACAATTGTGAAGTGCATTACAATGAAGGCCGAAAAGGCAGCATTAATTACGACATGGCATTCTAAGATGAAACGAGGTATTGTCATACAAGTCATGAAAATGAAGGTTGACTTATTGTAATAAAAATTTTGTGATTGGTCGAAATAACAAAACATAAGAATTTGTCCCTCTACAAGAAGTTCTCAATGTTGAGTTCCACGTAGGAGCATGGGTCTGGAATATCGAAGTTATCCAACACCTGTCATCAACATTAAGGCATTCAAACGCAAGAAGAAATCATGGCCCAAAGAAAAAGCAGCAGAATGTATATGAGAAATCACGAGTAAAATACAGAGTTTTTATTAGGCTTACTAACAGAAAATTTAAAGTGTTGGGAATTTACTGCAAAACTGAAAGGTACCTTTAGTTCTTCCAACATATTACACGAGAAATATCGATATACCTGTGGGTGCACAATGCCAAAAGTGCCGATTTGCTTCCCTTTGTAAATGATGCTCGCTTGTCGGCCTGGAAGAAACTCGGGTTCCTGCAATATAAAATAATAATAGTATGTAATTTGTTAAACAATCCCATAGCAAATTCAACAGAATTAAAACAGTTAACATACATCTGAACTCTGTATATAGTAGCCAGTTTCATCCCCAGGTGGTACGAATGAGGTTCCTGCCACTTCCATGATTCTATCCACAAGACCATGTATAAGCTGAAAGGGGAAAAAGAGAAGAAACTTAGCAAATCCTACATCATCAATTAGATAAAATGTGTAAGGGGAAGTGCACAAGCATAATGACATGGTTTTGTAAACAAAACCGAACACTGAATTGCCCAATGTTTAAAAGTGCAGATACAAGCGAACTTAATAGAGCAATCCATCTCAGAATTGTATACAGCTAGCTGAATCAAGCCATCCTCTTGATCATATTCTAAAGGAAGACCAACAAATACTAAACTGAATAAGATTTTATCTATAAGAACCCTCCAAATCCCCAGAGATAAGTATCTCACATATCATCGAGAGGTCAAGATAAAAAGTGTTGGAATCAAAGGGTACCTCGAATCCTGAAGTAGCTCCACAATACAAAGCTGCAAGATGACGGCGATTTGATGCACCAACATCTTTTGTGTCGTCGAGTAGCACCACATCACCCACTTCAAAAATCTGCATATTAGAGTATATCAGATGTATATATAAATTACAAAAATATAATAGATGCAAAACATGTAGAACCTGGCAGAGGAATCATGTCAGTCACACCACAGGACTGAAAGTCCAACATGCAAAAATGAACAGTTTGAGCCTCCTAAGCACGTAGAAAAAATGCCACAAAATATAATAAATGCAAAACATGTAGAACCTGGCACAGGAATCATAATCAGACATGAAAGACAGCCACAGCCTTTGACATCAACTATCTCCCAAGTAATTTATATATTACAATACTTGCAGATAACAGTACTAACTCTGTTTAAATACATGAGAATTGCACTAGACAGATGTTTCTTCAACATCAATCATTTAGTTTGAAAACACTCTTTTGATCAAATCAACAAACAGATCAAAGTGAACAATCTATGGAACACAGCCAATCATTGTAAACCCTTCAAAAATTTTCAATTTCACAAGGCTCTGACTAACAAGAAAACGCAGTTCCACATATCTAGTTTTGGTATGACCACAACAAGAACAACTTTTCTTTTCATGCTATGCTTATTTCATGCAGATAGAATGGTGGATCCTAAAATTCTTTAATAATGAGGCGAACAAGTCTGCAAAACATAAATACAAGGAGGATCG